CAGCACCGCCACCACTACTACTACTATTACTATTACTATAGATGCACCCATCCCAAAGTCTTGCCACCTCTTCCCAAAATCTCCACAGCAGCTGAAGCCCACAGAAACGACCCAGAGGAAGGGAAAGGCACCTTTTTAAACATAGGAAAGGACTTACTGAACATTAAATAGCAGATGGTCCTCCTATGATGTCTGAGAGAGGCACTTGCCTTCACAACTCCATCTGAAACACAAAACAAAAACAGGAGGGACAAAACGGTTCTTCCTTTCTTGGGCCCGTACGTGCCGTTCGTGGTCTCATGCCTGGCAAAACGCTGCCAGGTTATCTTACAGGGGGAAGCACCGTGTCTCTCAGGCTGGGCCCTGCCCACTGGAGACGGATCCCGCACGAAGTCTAACACAGGGCTTTTCAACCAGTGGGACGGGTACCACCTGTGGTACATTGGCACCTGGCAGGTGGTACGCGACCATCCTAGAAAAGTGGTAGCAGGGGAGGGAAATGAGCTGAACCGGTGGCAGCACCGCCCAAGCCTGAGCGAGAGATGGCTGGAGCTGCAGGGCTGTCAGGGCTCAGCGGAAGCGCCAGGATCAGCGCTTCTTTGGGGCTGTCAGCACCGAAGAAGCGGTGGCAGCACCGCATAAGCTTGAGCAAGAGATGGCTGGAGTTGCAGGGCAGTCAGGGCTCGGAAGCGCCAGGATCAATGCCGCTTTCCAGCTGATCGGCGCTTCTTCAGGGCTGTTAGGGCTCAGTGGAAGCATCAGGATCAGCACCAGGATCCAGCTGGAGCTCGGCGCTGATCATGGCACTTCCGCTGAGCCCAGAAGCACCAGGATCAGCTGGAATGTTGCAGCCTCTCCAGGGTCTTGTGATTTACATTCAGATGCTTGGCAACTGATTCATATTTAAGACGGTCACAGTGTCCCGGGGTCATGTGAAGTGGCCAAAACCTGCTACAACCACCCAGCAGACGGGGGGAATAAAGACCAAACACTCCCCCACCCCACCCCCGCTGCCAATCCTCAACAGAAATGCTCACAACAATGGAAACCTCGGACAGGAGGAAGAGCGCGGCCGGGCGGGCAGGCAGGTCTCTTGCTCGGCTGTGGCTTGGGGGGCCCTTTTTTCAGTGCCGTTGTAATTTCAAACAGTCACTAAGCGAACTGTTGTAAGTCGAGGACTACCTGTACTTCATCACTTTTTTCCTTTTTTTTTTTTTGGGGTCATCAAGTTTTGGACACCTTGCTAGGCGACGGGTGCTACTCGGATGTTGCCATATCCTAAAAGTGGTACAATGGGTGAAAAGGTTGAAAAGCCCTGTTCTAACACGCTACCTTTGCACGTGATAAGGAAGAATTCCCCATCCTGAGAGCCGCCACCCAGGGCGATCACGTATTCGCTGTTATTGTAAGGGAAAAAGACGGGAACGAGCTTCTTCACGCAGACGTTGTTCAAGATCCGCGTCCACAGTTCTGAAGGGGCAACAGAGTGAGACAGAGCAGGTGTTAATAGCACTTTACAAGGCCTTGGTAAGGCCGCCCTTGCAATCCTGCATCCAGTTTTGGTGGCCATGATCTCAAAAAAGATGCTGAGACTCCAGAAAGAGTGCAGAGAAGAGCAACAAAGATGATTAGGGGGCTGGAGGATAAAACATATAAGGAAAGGCTGCTGGAATTGGGTCTGTCTAGTTTAACGAAGAGAAGGACCAGGGGGGACATGATAGCAGTCTTCCAGTATCTCAGGGGCTGCCCCAAAGAAGAGGGAGTCAAGCTATTCTCCAAAGCCCCTGAAGGCAGGACGAGAAGCAACGGATGGAAATTAATCAAGGAGAGAAGCAACCTGGAACTAAAGAGAAATTTCCCGACAGTGAGAACAATCGATCAGTGGAACAACCTGCCTCCAGAAGTTGTGAATGCTACAATGCTGGAAGTTTTTAAGAAGAGACTGGACAACCATTTGTCTGAAATGGTACAGGGTTTCCTGCCTGAGCAGGGGAATGGAATGGAATGGAATGGAATAGAATAGAATAGAATAGAAGCTGAAAGGGACCTTGGAGGTCTTCTAGTCCAGCCCCCTGCTCAAGTAGGAGAGCCTATACCATCTCAGACCAGTGACTGCCGAGTCTGTTCTTAAAAACCTCCAGTGATGGAGTGCCCACGATTTCTGGTGTCCAGCTGTTCCACTGGTTAATTGTCCTCACTGTTAGGAAGTTTCTCCTTAATTCCAGGTTGCTTCTCTCCTTAGTCAGTTTCCAACCATTGTTTCTCGTCCTGCCTTTCAGGGGCTTTGGAGACTAGTTTGATGCCCTCTTCTTTGTGGCAGCCTCTCAAATACTGGACTATTGCTATCATGTCACCCGTTTCTTCTTTTCTTGAGACTAGCCAAACCCCTGCAGCCGTTCTTCGTATGTTTTAGTCTCCAGGCCTTTGATCATCTTAGTTGCTCTTCTCTGAACTTTTTTCCAAGGTCTCAACGTCTTTCTAGTAAGAGGTAAGCAACAGCCATAGAGACTTAGACTTATACAGTGCTTTACAGTCCCTCTCTAAGCAGTTTGCAAAGCTGGCATCTTGCCTCCAACAATCTGGGTTCTCATTTGACCGACCTCGGAAGGATGGAAGTCTGAGTCAACCTTGAGCCGGTCAGGATCGAACTCCTGACAGTGAGCACAGTCAGCCTGCAATACTGCATTCTAACCACCGGGCCACCACAGCTCTTGAACCCGCCCCCCCAGGGGATTCAAGAGGACTTTATTCCAATTATGGGGAAATCACACTTCCACGTGTAATTATAGATCATTCAGTCCCAAGGAGGATCTGAATAACGCGTGGAGCAAAGCAGGAATGCGAGGGATCAAGTGGGTTGAATTGACTCTCTGGCAGAAAGCTGTTGATTTTTTTTTTTTTTTTTACTGAATATGGACCTTCCTTGTAAGACCACGCTGGCAGAAACTCCTGGAAGCATCGCGGCTGGCGGGGGGTGGTTGTCATGTGTCTGATTAACGAAACACTTAAAAGGACTTTCAGGCATATTTTCTCCTAAAAGCATTTATTAAGGTTACAGAGACGTCAGTACAGCATGGAGGAAATGCTTAGGTTTGCTTCTCTTCCTTTACGCATATACATTCCAAGCATTTCCCACTCCCTTATTGTAGGGTCATGGTTCACATCTTCCAATCAACTTGGAAGATGTGATTTACTTCCGGTTTCTTTCTCCAGGGCTATCCTTATGCTCCTCCCTCTTTCCCAGTTGCTGGTTTAACTATATAAATACCAGACAGTTCTGCACATTGTCAAAGCAAGAATATACAGCAGTGATGGCGAACCTTTTAGAGACCGAGTGCCCAAACTGCAACCCAAAACCCACTTATGCATCGTCGGGTGCCGGGTGGGTGTGGCCCATTGGGTGGGTGTGGCTGCGGTGGTAACGGCAGACTGGGTCGGACTAAAAAATTCAATCCATCAATTCCAACTTTGCAAGATCTTTTTTTTCCCCACGAGAAGTTGAAATTGGCTGATTGATTGAACCTTTTTTTTTTTTGCACACGGCGGCGGAGGCCTAAAGCAAAAAAGGTTTTATAAAACCCAGCTGAAGGCCTAGGACTGGGGCGACGGCGCGCGTGCCCACAGAGAGGGCTCTGAGTGCCGCCTCTGGCACCCGTGCCATAGGTTCGCCACCACTGATATACAGTATTTGCAGCGTTGACAGTGGTGGTGTTAGGCTGACCTACCGGATCCTTTGGTTTCTAGGTGTAAAATCGGATAATGCCCTGTAAAGTAATAGACCAGTTGATTTTGTCGGATGAAAAGGGTGCTTTCGGTAGCGATGGTATCGACAATGGAAGAGGAGAATATTCCCTGAGGGCATAAGAGGGAGCCGATCCAGCAGCTGTCGATGCCCACCTGGCAGCAGAGCAGGAGACAAAATGCGAAGAGCCGGGTGTGCTGAGGGGAGACGGGCCGTCTCTCACTCTGCCCCTCCCCGAGGTCAGCAGCCTTTCATCCCCCAGGGCTGCAGGTAGTCCACGGCTTACGACCACAACTGGGCCCAAGGTTTCCGTCCTTAAGCAAGACAGCGGTCAAGCGAGCTTTGCCCCCCCCACTTTACGACCTTTCTTGCCACCGTCGCTAAGCGGATCGCTGCCGTTGTTAAGTTTGTCACAGGGCCTGGCGACCCCTCTGACTTTGCTGGTCAAAGAGGGACGGCCCGATTCCCCCCGGGACGCTGCGAGCGTCCCAAACGGGAATCGGTCGCCAGTGGTCTGAATTTTGATCCCGTGACCGTGGGGAAGGCTGCAACGCTCGTTGCAACGTGTGAAAAACGGTCGCCGGTTGCTTTTTTTCTCCCCGCCCCCCAGGGATGTTGTAACAATTGAATGGTCACTAAATGACCCGTTGTAAGCTGAGGACTGCCTGTAGCGATCTTTTTTTTTCTCTCTCTCTCCCTCTTTACCTCTATTATGTGAAATGTATCAAAGCTGGTATCTGAAATGATGACGACTTTCTTCTCCGGGATCCCTCCCAGGATCAGCACGGGGGCTTGCTGGTAGGTGGCCCACAAAGGGCGCGACGGGTCCCTCAACCCAAAGATGCTCCTCAAGCCGTACAACTGTACTCCGCCAGGGAGGGAGATAAAAGAAACGGTCAGCGCTTGCCCATCAACGCAAGGTTTAATTCCACGATACGAAGCCAGAGGTGTTTAGGGACTGGAGCCTAAAACCTATCCAGAACAGTCGCTGCAATTGGGTACCTCTAGTTCAGGGGTCTTCAAACCTGGCCCTTTTATGACTGGTGGACTGAGGAATTCTGGGAGTTGAAGTCTACGAGTCATAAAAGGGCCAGGTTTGAAGACCCCCCCGGTCTAGTTTAATGAAAAGCAGGACCAGGGGTGACGTGATAGCAGTCTTCCGGTATTTGAGGGGCTGCCACTACGAAGAGGGGGGGGGGTCAACCTACTCTCCAAAGCCCCTGAAGGCAGGAGAAGAAGAAGAAGCAATGGACAGGGACTAATCAAGGACAGAAGGAACCGGGAAATAAGGAGAAACTTCCTGACAGCGAGAACAATTAATCAGCGGAACGACTTGCCTCCAGAAATGGTGGGTGTTTCATCACTGGAGGTTTTTTTTTAAAGAAGAGACTGGACAGCTACTTGTCTGAAATGGTATTGGGCTTCCTGCCTGAGCAGGGGGATGGACTGGAAGACCTCCGAGGTCCCTTCCAACTCTGTTAAGCCACAGATTTTAGTTGGATCATAGCACTCTTGGCCCTAGGCGAAGCTCAATCGCACCTATTTTCCAGCGGGGTTAGTTTTCTACGTGTGAGGAGATAGGAAGAGTTGGGTCAGTTTGGTTTGGTGGTGGTTAAGAAGCTGGGCTAGAAAACAGGAGACTGTTGAGTTCTAGTCCTCTAGTCCTTCTTAAAGGGATGGCTGGATGGATGAGGGATTCGCAGTCATCCAGGTATCATATTTTTCCCAAAGAAAACTTCAAAGACAAATAAAGAAGTCCAGTTGCCTCATGAAAAAACATCTTGGGGACGGCTAGATGCACAACTGGAAGCAACTGCAGCAGCAACCTTTGTCCAGGGCAGGGGTCTTCGAACTCGGCCCTTTTATGACTCATGGACTTCAACTCCCAGAATTCCCGAGCCAGCCAATTCCCGAGTCATAAAAGGGCCGGGTTTGAGGACCCCCGGTCCAGGGGAAGCAAAAGAGGCATTTGACCCGTCGAATGCAAGCCTTTATGAAGACCCCTGGCTCTTCCCAAGCTTCCCATGTCTACATTTGCAAACCCCAGACCCCCAGCAAGTCACCTTTTTTCCAATCCTGAATCTTTCCGATCTCTCGGAAGGTTCCATGTATCCATTTATGTTAATGTAGAACCTAGGAAGAAGAGGGTAAGAGGAAGGGTCTGCACAGGAATATTGCATTGAGTACGTGTAAGAATCACTTGTCTGCCAAAGCAAATTATACTGTTGTTGAAGGAAAAGTCTTCCTCGGGGTTCAGTCCGAGCCGGGAATAAACGACATGGTGACTGCTTTAGAAAGAAGGGTGTCATGTGTCTGATTAACGAAACACTTAAAAGGACTTTCAGGCATATTTTCTCCTAAAAGCATTTATNTAAGGTTACAGAGACGTCAGTACAGCATGGTGGAAATGCTTAGGTCTGGCTTCTCTTCCATTACGCATACATTCCAAGCATTTTTCCCTGCCTCTATTTTGGGGTCATGGTTCACATCTTCCAATTAACTTGGAAGAGGTGATTTACTTCCGGTTTGGGCTATCCTTATTCTCCTCCCTTTTCCCTGTTGCCTGGTTTAACTATAAAAATACCAGACAGTTCTGCATATTGTCAAAGCAAGAATATACAGTATTTGCAGCGTTGACAAAGGGTGAAGTTTATTGACGAGGAGAGCCAGACAGGAAGATGGCTCTGGAAGAAAAGAGTGAGCACATGTAGGGATTGGGTTTTTATACCCTCTGGAGCCTTTTGTTTGGAGTTGTTCCTGTGGCGTGAACTTGGACCTGAGTCTGAGTGTGCCCTTTGGCATCTGTGGGGTTAATCCTATTATGTCCTGTCTGAGAGTTTGGGTGGGGTGTGTAGATTTTAGTAGTCTTTGTCTTCTTAATCTTCTAGCTTCAACCTTCCTGAATTATTTACCTCTGCATTTCTACAGAGCTGGTTTCTGCTTCGGGGAGGGAGACTTGGGGCTATTAAGAAAACCGGGCATGCTTTTCTGCCTCTTTAAGATCCTTGGAGGAAATATATTTGTCTGCCCTTTTTAATATGTCCTTCTCTGGGGGGGGGGCTGACTTCCCACACTGTGATATGGCAGTTGGGTCCAAGAGAGCTGCAACAAAGGGGGGAAGAAATGGGGGAGAAGGGAATCGAGCAATTTAGAATAAAATGATCTGACGGCCACAGCGGGAGACCTTCCGCAAAGGGAGTTTGATCTAGTGCAGGGGTAGGCAACCTTGGCTCTTTTATGACTGGTGGACTTCAACTCCCAGAATTCCTGAGCCAGCTATGCTGAGGGGAAAGGGTGATGTTGCCATGCTGAGCCCTGCTGGCTCAGGAATTCTGGGAGTTGAAGTCCTCCCATCGTCAAGTGGCCAAGGATGAAAAACACTAAGTCTAGAGCAGGGGTAGGCAACCTCGGCTCTTTGATGACTCGTGGACTTCAACTCCCAGAATTCCTGAGCCAGCATGGCTCAGCTTGGAAACCTCTCCCTTTCCCCTCAGCATGGCTGGCTCAGGAATTCTGGGAGTTGAAGTCCACCAGTCATCAAAGAGCCAAGGTTGACTACCCCTGATCTAGTGGTTCAGGCAACTGGGCAAGAAAGCGGGCGACCGTGAGATTCTAGTCCTGCTTTAGCTATGGAAAGCCAGCTGGGTGACTTTGGCCAGGAGATGTGAGTTCTAGTCCCGCCTTAGGCCTGAAAGCAGTCGGGCGACTTTGGGCTAATCACTAGGAGAGGTGAGTTCTAGTCCTCTTTTGGCCACGAAAGCCAGCGGGGTGACCTTGGGCCAGTCGCTTTCTCTCAGCCCAACTCACCACACAGGGTTGTTGTTGTTGTTGCTGTTGTGGGTCAAACAGGAAGAGGGAGGTGTGTTGGGATTTGTTCACCGCCTTGAGTTATGTTTTTAAAAAATAATAAATGCGGGATAAAAATAAACAAACAAACAAATAAATAAATGGCATGTAGAACAAATTCCTTTGCTGGAAGCTTTTAGCAACAGGGATGGCTAGAAAGACCATTATCCCCAGCCTCTGCTTACCTCCTGTTGAGTATAGGGAGGCCAAAGCCGTTAGTCCTCACCAGAACACGGGTCACAACACTGCCGTTCAGGAAGGGCATCGGAGCGAACCAAAACATTTCGCAAACTTCCTCACTATCACAATATTCTGAATGTGGAGAGACAGAGGGCAGCACGTCACACACTTCCTTGATACACTTACGCGAGCAGAAATCTGCTCAGTATTACCAGACAGAGGCGTGATTTTTACATTCTTTTCCTAGGGATGACGTCGCAAGTAGCCCTCGACTTACAAGCCGTTTGTTTAGTGACCGTTCGAACTTACAACGGCACTGAGAAATGTGGCTTGTGACCGTTCTTCGCGGTTACGGCTTCTGCAGCATCCCCATGTGGTCCTGTGACCAAAATTCAGATATTTGGCAACTGCTTTACCTTGATTGCAGGGATCCCCTTTTGTGAGCTTCTCGCAAACCAAGTCAACGGGGGAAGTCAGAGTCTCTTAACAACCTGGTTGCTAACTTACCGACTGCAGTGTTTCACTTAACAACTGTGCCAAGAAAGGCCGTTAAAAGGGGGCGACGCTCACTTAAGAAATGTCTCCCTTAACAATGGAAGTTTTTTGTAAGCTGTCAGTTGAGGAGGACCCATACACTGGGCTTGTGGCAGACAGGTGACCTACCAAGTGACGTCGCCCTTGTCTTTAATTCTGGCTGGTGCAGGTAGTCCCTGATTTACAGCCATTCGTTTAGTGACCGTTCGAAGTTACAAGAGTAAGTGGGAAAAAAAACGGCTTCCAACCGATCCTTGCACTCACAATCGTGGCAGCATGTGCACAGTCACGCAATAAAAATTGGGCAGCTTGGGAACCGGCCTCTATTTAGGCCAGTTGCTGTTTGCCTCAGGGTGTGTGTGTGTTAGGCGATGCCCATTTGTGACCCCCTCCCCCAGCTGCTTCTGACAAGCAAAGTCAATGGAGGAAACTAGACTTGCTCAACAACTGCATGATTCATTTAATAACTGCAGCGATACGCTTAAGAACCCTGGCAAAAAAAAGGTCCTACAATTGGGCGTGACTCGCTTAAGGACCGTCTTGCTTAGCAACGGAAATCAAAGGCGCAAGTTAAAAAAAAATAAATCTGGGTTTTAAACCCCGACGACGTGCTAATCCCAAACGGAACATCCCACTTTGGGAGGGGTGAGCCCTGCCCCCTCTCCCAAACGTCAGCAGCTAATTCACTTTGAGCACGGGCCACTGGAACTGGGAAGGGAGATTTTAAGGTGTCAAACCGGATCAAAGGTGCCCCGTTTTTCAAAGACCACGAGGGACACCTGGAAGGTGGGCAGGAGTGAAGACCCTTTTTCACTTCTCCGGCCCCGCCGTGCCGAAACGCTCCCTGCCACAAACCCACCGTTCATCCGGTGTGGGGCGGTCATCATTTCGATCCGTAAACGTTCCTGTTTCTGGCGCACGGGGTTGACGGGTTCTTCAAAGGAGACCCTCACGATGGGTCTCAGTCCGCTGTAGTGGCCCACCCGGATGGCCACCTGTTGGGTCTGGAAGGAGAAGGGCAAGCAATTCTTTTTTCTTTGTTTGTTTGTATTGTTGTAAGCCTAGCCCCCCCGTGGAGAGATGGTGAGTAAAATTCCTTGAAGAAATAATAATAATTCTAAGCAAATGAACTCAGAGCACTGGGTGGTGCTGGCTTCCTACAGCACCGGCAGGCCCACTCCAGACGTCGGCCTCCCTACCCTTCTCCAGTTACTGAAGCGGGGGGCCATTCAATAGCAACAGTAGTAGCAATAGCAATTGCATTTAGACTTATATACCACCCCATAGCTCTGGGGCAGTTTACTCTCTGGGCGGTTTACAATGTAAAAGCATCATTTGTACATTGCCCCCCAACAATCTGGGTCCTCAGAAGGATGGAAGCCTGAGTCAACTTTCAGCCAGTATGAAGAGACTGGACGGCCACTCGTCTCAAATTGTATAGGTCCAGGGGGTTGGACTAGAAGACCTCCAAGGTCCCTTCCAGCTCTATTCTGACTGACTAAAGCAGGGCCCTGCCAAGCCGAATTCCTCTTCTTCTCTCTGTCAAGGAACCCTGACCCCGATTACCCGCACATTTCATCCTTACCCGATAGATGCAAAAGAGAGTTACTTTCAGGAAGTATGGAAATCCATAGTAACGCTTTAAAAAAAGAAATAAGAGTTATTTTCAGAAGTCTTTTCTCTTTATAGGATATCAGACACAGCACTATTTTTTTCGTAAGACTCGGTGAGAGCTGCTATCATCTAGATCTCCTGTGAGTAATTCACCAAATTTCCTGGCAGTGAGAACAATTAATCAGTGGAACGACCTGCCTCCAGAAGCTGTGAATGCTCCAACACTGGAAGTTTTTAAGAAGAGACTGGACAGCCATTTGTCTGAAATGGTATAGGGTTTCCTGCCTGAGCAGCGGGTTGGACTGGATGACCTCTAAGATCCCTTCCAACTACATCATCATCATCATCATCATCATTATATTACTATTATTATTTTGCATTTCTGAACTGCCCATCTGTCTCAGTTTGATAGATAGATAGATAGATAGATAGATAGATAGATAGATAGATAGATAGATAGATAGATAGATAGATAGATAGATAGATGATAGATAGATAGATAGATGATAGATAGATAGATAGATAGATAGACAGACAGACAGACAGACAGACAGACAGACAGACAGACAGACAGACAGACAGACTTGGAGAGAGAGAGAGAGAGAGAGAGAGATGAATGAGTGATGGATGGATATACGTAGATGATGAGAGGATGGATGGATAAATAGGTATGTAAAAGATGGATGGATGGATGGATAGATAGAAAGATAGATAGATAGATAGATAGATAGATAGATAGATAGATAGATAGATAGATAGATAGAAAGATAGATAGATAGACAGACAGACAGACAGACTTGGAGAGAGAGAGAGAGAGAGAGAGAGAGAGAGAGAGAGAGAGAGATATGAATGAGTGATGGATGGATATACGTAAATGATGGATAGATGATGAGAGTATGGATGGATAAATAGGTATGTAAGATGGATGGATGGATAGATGGATAGATAGATGATAGATAGATAGATAGATAGATAGATAGATAGAGAGAGAGAGAGAGAGAGAGAGAGAGAGAGAGAGAGAGAAACAGACAGACAGAATCAGGTGCAAGTCACTTAACAATTGCTTAGCAGTAGTAGCCCTAACCCTAACCATCGCCTTGCTTAGCAGTAGATACCCTGGTCCCCACTGTGGTTACATAGGTATGTGGCCTACCCATCTATGTTGTGTAAAAACAAGAATTCCCATTTGCCTGTCTTGTGTCTTCCGTGCTTTATTCAGGATCCTCGCAGGATCTAGGAACAAAATGCTCTTTTCTGCTCTCCCGTCTTTCATGTACTCCAAGGCACTTACTGCATCTTTGTCGTTGGGATCTACCGGTGAGTCTTTGAGTTCGTGGAAGATGGCGGCCACTTTGCGAATTTCTTCCTGGTGGATGAAGCTGCTGGCGAGTCCCATGAGATTCGTGGTGTCAACGAGGGAAGCAAACCACTTGCATTGTCTCAGCGAGAGGCAAAGCTTCAGTTGGAGGAGGAGGAGGAGACAAAACAGGCCGGGCAGAAAAGGTTGCCACATCACGGACGCTTCTGCCCAAAGGAAAGCAAGCAGAAAGCAAACAAACCCGGCGTTCAGACGTTCATTTTGATAGCCCCTCTTCAAAAGGTAGTCCTTGACTTACGACCTCGACCGAGCCCAAAATTTCGGCCGCTACGCGAGACGTTTCTTAGGTACGTTTTACGACCGTTCTTGTTAAGACTCAGTGTTTCTCAACCTTGACCATTTTAAGGCATGTGGACTTCAACTCCCAGAATTCCACAGCCAGCAATGCTGGCTGTGGAATTCTGGGAGTTGAAGTCCACATGCCTTAAAATGGTCAAGGTTGAGAAACACTTGTGTTAAGTGAATCGCTGCAGCGGATCAGGGAGTCACCCGGTGGTTAAGCGAATCTGGCCCTCCCACTGACTTGGGTGGTCAGAAGGTCGCAAAAGGGGGATCACTTGATCTTGGGACACAGTCACGGTCGTTAAGTATGAACCGGTTGCCAAGCATCTGACTTCTGATTATATGATCCTGGGGATGCTGCAAAGGTTGTAACGGTGAAAAACTGCCCTAAGTCAGGGCTTTTCAACCTTTTCAGCCATGGGGCCACTTTTAGGATAGGGCAACATCCGAGCACCACCAGTCGCCTAGCAAGGTGTCAAAAACTTGATGAGCCCCCCCCAAAAAGAGGGAAAAAGTGATAAAGTACAGGTAATCCTCGACTTACAACAGTTCGCTTAGTGACTGTTCGAAGTTACAATGGCACTGAAAAAAGTGCCCCACAAGCCACAGCTGAGCAAGGCGGCGCTCTTCCTCCTGTCTGAGGTTTTCATTGTTGTGAGCATTTCTGTTGAGGATTGGCAGTGGGGGTGGGGTGGGGGTGTTTGGTTTTTATCCCCCCCCCCCGTCTGCTGGGTGGTTGCAGCAGGTTTTGGTCACTTCACATGACCCTGGGACACTGTGACCGTCCTAAATATGAACCAGTTGCCAAGCATCTGAATGTAAATCACAAGACCCTGGAGAGGCTGCAACATTCCAGCTGATCCTGGCACTTCTGGGCTCAGCGGAAGCACCATGATCAGCGCCGAGCTCCAGCTGAATCCTGGCGCTGATCCTGATGCTTCCACTGAGCCCTAATAGCCCCGAAGAAGCGCCGATCAGCTGGAAATGGGGCATCACTCAACCGATGTCTCACTTAACAACGGAAACTGGGGGCTCCATTGTGGTCATAAATCGAAGACTACCTGTACTTAGGTTTAATCCAGGGGTCTTCAAACTTGGCAACTTTAGGACTTGTGGACTTCAACTCCCAGAATTCCTCAGCCAGCCCTGGTTTAATCTTGCTGGAGCCTCCACATATTAGTGCAGAAACCACTAGAGGGCGGAAAAGAGAAAACTCTCTCTGCTGCCATCCAGCGGTCTCCCGAGCTGGTGCAGCTTAAGAGACGGAAGCGCTGGCACGATGACGTCACCGGGTCCAGTGACGTCACCAGCCGTCACTGACATCGCCCCCTGAAACAGAGACCTGGCTACTTCGACGCCGCGTCACGTCCAAATCACCTCCGATTGCCACGTTTTCCGCTTTAGTGAGGAGGGGGCTGCCCTGTCCTTTCCCCCCCCTTCCCCAAACCCCGCACCGAAACGCCGTTTAATCTTCCCCACACCTCGAAACTCTCCCCTCAACCGGCGCCAGCAGGCGGCGCGAGCGGTTTGTTTTTTGTTTTTTTTAGAATCCGTTCAGCGCATGCGCCAAACTCCCCCCCCCTCCAGCCAATCGGGCGAAGCGCGAGCCGGCCGCCGCCGTTGCCAAGGGAGATGCCGCGATTGACGGCCGCGGCCGTAAAGCGCGGTGGCGACTCGCGGCCTTTTCGCGACGGTCCCGCCGGGTGCAGATTCATGGCTTCGGCGGTGGCCATGATGGCGGCGGCCGGCGGCCCGGTGCTGAACGGGGCCGACGCGGCGGGGCTGAAGGAAGCGGCGGGGATGTACGAGCAGCTGCGGGCGGAGTGGAACCGCAAGAACCTCAGCTTGAGCAAGTGCGGCGACTTGCTGGGCCGCCTTAAAGTGAGAGGAGGCCGGTGGGGGGGGGAGGCTGGGGAGAAGGGGGAGACTAGAAACCGCCTGGTGGGAACTTGGGGGGAATGCTTGAAACTGCCGTCGGGGGGGGGAGACTAGAAACAGACAAAACGGGGGAAGCAGAACCTGGTGCCGAAGGGCTGAGCGGGGGAGGCGACGAGTAACCCGGGGATCCGGAAGCTTGAAGAAGGCAGCCCTGGTGACTTGGGAGGGAGGCTGTGGGGGATTGGCCGCATCTACGGGAGGGTCCTCGATTTACGACCACCAGGGAGGCTAAAAGTTTTCTCCTGTTGAGTAACATTTCTTGTCCCGTTTTACGACCGTGTTGCTAAGTGAAACACTGCCGGGGTTCAATTAAGGACAGGGTTGTTAAGTGAATCTGGCTTTTTTCCCCATTGGACTTTGCTGGCCAGAAGGTCGTGAAAAGGGGATCCCGTGATCCCTGGGACGCTCCGACCGTCATAAATATGAACCGGCTGCCAAACGTCTGAATGTAAATCCCGTGACCAGGGGGACGTTGCGACGGTCGTAAGTGTGAAAAATGGTCCTAAGTCACTTTGTATCGGTGCCGTTGTAACTTTGAACGGTCACTAAATGAACTGTTGTAAGTGGGAGGACGACTTCCATGGTGTATGGGAGATCCAGGCTGGGGGAGAGAAACAACAGGGCCAAGAGATGCTGGCTGGCGAAGCTCTTTTTCCATAAGGCCCAAATGGCCTTTCTTTAAAAGCGAGGTGCCTGTCGTTTTATTTCTCTAATTAACTTATTGTCCTGTAAATCGATTTCAGTGTTGCTGTTATTTTAACCTAATCGTTGCTTTTATGGATTGTAAACTGGAAGATAGATGGGCGGTGTCGAAGTTTGATAAAGAAAAGAAGGCCACCGTAAGGAATGTCACGCCGAGTGGCATACAGCGTGAAAACAAATCCTAAACCCCACAAAAAAACCACAAAAAAACCCAATACAAAGTTAAAATATGAACGTATATATCAATCGTGCTGTCTGACTTGGGCAGCTTTATGAATCTTTAAATGATAGATAAGATAGATAAGATAGGATAAATAGATAGAGAGATGGATAGATAGATAGATAGACAGACAGACAGACAGACAGACAGACAGACAGACAGACAGACAGACAGATAACCTTTATTGCCGTTTTTTACCATGGGCATAATGGCACACATTAAAAGTGAAATTTAATTGCTGGCTCTCAAAGGGTACACATACATAACACACATTTAAACATACTACAAACAACAAACAACGTATGTATAGACCTACACCCTTACATATAGCTAACATATAAATATTAATCATTATCCACCTTGAATAGATACCAAACGGTGGCCGAGCCTCCTAACAGAGCAGCCCAAAGGGGACACCCTCCCCCCCCCTCAACTGACCTGTAATGCTGAGATGGAAAAACCAGAATAGTTTTCCTAAGAAGAGTTGGGGGATCCATCTTGTCTTGGGGAGGATTGTTCCACAGATCAGGGGCCACCACCAAAAAGAAAAAGGCGTTTATAGAGCCGGTTCCAGGAAGACTACTCCCCAAACGATGAATACAACTTTATTAAAACTTATTTTTCTTTTGGATCTTTGAATTAATACTGTAAAGGGGTTCGGAATCCCTGGAAGTGGAGCAGCATGTAAGATATAGTAATAAACAAGCAAATATAAATGACATTTCAAACTGGGGAGGGAGGTGAATGATTCAGCTTGCTTGTTTTTTCCTGTATTAATTTCTCTGTTGAGTCACACACTCCAAACAGAGAGGATTTTTCTCTCCAGCCCAGTGCTTCATCTCTGCTTGCAGCCAGGAGAATTCCTTGCTAAAGCAAAGTTTACAGGATGAACTTTTCCATCGTTTTATCAGCAAGGGTGGATTGTCTCTGGAATTAGAGGCTCGGGTCTCTGGCAGCTGTCAGTGGTTCTATTTGTTTGCTTACTATTAATACATTGCTATTTAAAAAAATATTTCAGGTAGCATACAGGTAGTCCTCCATTGATGACCATAATGGGGCCTGCCCATTAAAGTCGTAAGTCATGATGGTTGCAAAGGGGATCATCACATCACTGACCCAATTTTACAACCTTTTTTCTTTTCTTTTCGCAGTGGTCCTTAATTGGACCCTTTGTTTGCTGTGGGGCGTTTTGCTGAAAACGGGCAGTAAACAAAGTTTTTTGACAGAACATAAATTGTAGTCATAGGATCATGGGATGCTGCAAATGGAAAGCTGGGCTGGTTGCCAAGTGCTCAAACTGAGGTCAGGTGATCTTAGGGGGGAGGGTGGTCTTTTGAAACTTCGGAACCGGGTCTTCAATACAGGCAGTCCTCAGCTTACAACAGTTCGTTTAGTGACCATTCAAAGTCCCAACAGCACTGAAAAAAGTGAGCATTTTTCACCCTTAATGTCCGTCGCAGCATTCCCGGTGGTCACGTGATCAACATTAACGCGCTTGGCAACTGACTCATATTTATGATGGTTGCAGCGTCCTGGGATCACGTGATCCCCTTTTGCCACCTTCTGATAAGCCAAGTCAATGGGGAAGCCAGATTCACTTAACTGTGTTACTAATTTAACAACTGCAAAGATTTACTTAGCAACTGTGGCAAGCAAGGTTGTAAAATGGGGCAAAACTCACTTAACAGCCGTGGCGGCACAGTGGTTAGAATTGCAGGATTGCAGGCAAACTCTGCCCACTGCCAGCAGTTCGATCTTAACCGGCTCAAGGTTGACTCAGCCTTCCATCCTTCCAAGGTCGGTAAAATGAAGACCCAGATTGTTGGGGGCAAATAGGCTGACTCTAAACCTCTCAGAGAGGGCTGAACAGCACTGT